GGTGGTAGACCACAAAAGATTGGGATCTTCCTGGATATCTTAGCCAAGAAGCTGTTATTTTACAATGTCCACCAGAAGAATGCTTTGTACACTTTTTCCTTTGATAGTAGCCACAACCAGGAAATGAAGCTTTTTCCTTTCTTCTCAACAGGTCCCACTGCAACACAGGTTGACACTGAGCCTCTACAAATAGCACAGGGGTTTGATGATGATGATAAGTGAAGGGACAAAGTGAGAATGTACAACTAATGCATGGCTGAAATCCAGAGCCTTGGTTCTGACTACGTTGTATTTAACCCCGTGCTTTTTGCCACCAAATTAAAACCTAAAAGCTAATTCATAAAAGATGTTTTCAGCACTTCTTCCTAAGCCTTCTCTGATCCATTTCTGTAGAAAGAAGGCACTGTGAAGCAGTTTCCTAGGGCAATTATTTTGATTTTCACTTGTCCCAATTCTTTCAGCTACCCTTCCCAGCCTGCTGTGCCCCATGGGAGGTACTGAAGACACACTGGAAGGATATCACAGGAGTGCCAAACAGCTCTGATCATAGCCCAGATATAATATTATTTTTTTCTGTTTCAAATGCAAAGCCATTATCAGAATCTCAGAATCACAAAATCACAGAATCACACAGTTGTAGGGGTTGGAAGGGACCTCAAGAGATCGTCGGGCTAGTGATGGGGAGGGGACATCATTAGGGCAGCTGACCTAAACCGACCAAGGGGATATTCCATGCCACATGATGTCGCACTCAGCACTAAAAGGTGGGAAAGGGGAAGCAGCAGGGGGCTGTCACTGTGGAAGCATCTATCCTCCCGAAAAAACACTATGTATATTGAGGCCTTGCTGCCCAACTTCCCACGATGTGGTTGAACATTGCTCATTGGTGGGAAGTAGAGAGGAACTGCTGTTCTCTCTCTCTGCTCCCGTGAGGCCTTTTTTTTTTTTTTTTTCCCCTCTCTCCCTTTTCCCTTTAATTAAATCATCTTTATCTCAAATCTTGAGCTCTTTGTGCCGTATTTTCTACCCCTTCTTCTTTGAGAAGGGGGAGTGAGAGAGTGTCTGTGGTGGAACATAGCTGCCTACCCACGTAAAACCACCACAAGTCCAAACATTGTTCAGGGGAAGTTGCAAAGTATAAATAACCTTACTTTTTTAGTGAACAAGGACAGAATTCACGCATGAAAATCAAGATAGCCAAACTTTCCACGTCAATGAGTTTGCTCTCAAGCTTTGTCCTTCCTGCCATTTCTACATTCATGCATTTAATCCTCTTCTCTCATCAAAAGACAAAGAATACATCCGCAAGAATACTGACAATTTACAATACCTGTACAAATTCTCCCTTGCACAGTTTTCAGAAGAGCTTCTGGCAGAAGGAGAATGTCTTTCCCTTACTCTGTGTTGGGGCTTTCTCCTGCTAGGACACCCTCCCATGGGAAGTTCATCATGAGCCCAGGAGGCCCTGCACACACAGTCAGATGTCAGGATGCTGAGAATCTTTTTGATCACCCCTAGCTCTTGGCAGATAGTTATGGCAAAGTGGCCAGAAATCACTTACCTCACAAAACCTTTCAAACCCCACCATTCTCATGACATTGGAAACCAAGCCTGGTTTTTGGTCATTTTTATGAAAGTTAAATTTACAGTCAGGGTAAAAGAAGCAAAGACACACATTGGAAGCAAGGAAGCAATGGTAGGCAAGGAACTGAAGATATCTGAAAGGACGATGCTGGGAAGCACTAGATTAAGAGTTCTGGTTAAAATCTCATAAATAGGAACCGGTGTCAAGATAAGCTACGTTTATTGGAAAGTCTTTTGCAAGTAGGAAGAAACAATTTTATTTTAGATTAATGGCAGTTGCAACTTGTGGTATTTTTGGCAGATGCGACGTTACAGCTCAGGGAATCATAGAAACATAGAACCACAGAATGGCTTGGGTTGGAAGGGATCTTAAAGATCATCTGTTTACAAATCCTGCACCAAGGACAGAGATGACGCCCACTAGATTAGGTTGTCCAGGGTCCCATCTAACTTGACCTTGAACCGTCATCATACAAAGATATGGTCCTGGACAATCTGCTTTAGGTGGACCTGCTTGAGCAGTGGGGTTTGATCAGATGACCTCCAGATGTACATGCCAACATCAACCTTTCTGTGATCTGTCATTTCTGTGGCAAAAGCCTGTAGAAACTTCAAAGCCAAATAATGGGCACAGCTTTCATTTCAGGTAACACAGGACTAAACAAAAATCAGATCAACTAATTCCAACACCCCTGTCATGGGCAGGAACACCTTCCACTAGACCAGGATGCTCAAAACCTGTGGTGGAGGTGAGGCTCCACCTCAGCTGTTCTCTTACTCCCCCTCCTCAAAGTAGAAGGGGAAGAAAATACAATAAAAAGGGCTTAAGGGTTGAGATAAGGATAAGATCACTCAACAACTATCATGATGGGTAAAACAGACTCGGAGTAGGGAGATAGTAAGATTTATTTCCTATTACTAACAAGCTAGAGAAGTGAGAAACAGAGGAAAGAAACCAAAAATGCCTTCCCCCCATCCACTCTCTTGTACCTCCCCTCCTCCCCGAGCAGTGTAGGGGAATGGGGTTTGTGGTCAGTCTGTAGCACTTTGTCTCTACTGCTACTTCTCAGTCACTCTCTGCCCCTGCTCCATGTGGAGTCCATCACACAGGATGCCATAATTTCCAAAATGATCTTGTATGGGCTTCCCACAGTCAGAAGCTCTTCAAGAACTGCTCCAGATATGGGTCCATACCAAAGGCTCCATCCCTCGGGAGCACACTGCTCTAACTTGAGTCCCCCATGGGCAGCAGCTCTCCCCAGATCTCCTTCTCCTGTGTGGTCTCCTTTCCACAGGCTACAGCTCTAGCCCGGAACCTACTCTACCATGGTCTCCTCCACAGGCTGCAGCATGGAACCCTGCTCCACCGTGGTAGTCCATGAGCTGCAGGGAGACAACCTGCTTCACCATGGTCCTCACCACAGGCTGCAGGGGAACTTCTGCTCCAGTGTCTGGAGCACCTCCTGCCCTCTTTCTGCACAGGTGCCTACAAGGCTTTTTCTCACTCTTTTCTCTCTCCAAGCTGCTGTGTAGCAGAGTATTATTTTTTTCCCCCCTTTCTTAAATATGCTCTCACAGAGGTGCAAACAATAATGCTTATTGGCATGGCTCTGGTCAGCAGTGGGTCCCTTATCTAACATGGGGCAGCTTCTGGATTCTTCTCACAGAAGCCACCCCCCTGCTACCAAAATCTTTCCACATAAACTCACTACACTTGCTGAGGATAACCTCTGCCCCAGCATCCTGAGAGTAACGCACATGTTGAATGGATATGGACTATGTTAGAACCCCTCGGGTATACCACTAGTTAGTCACCTTCATTTCAGCTTTACACCACCTCCCTCAGGGCTCCACCATTCCGGCAGTTCTTAGTCCACCCCACTGTCTGCTCATCCAGCCCAGACATCAAGAGCTTCTCTATGAGGATCTTAGGCGAGACAGTGTCAGAGGCCTTCCTGAGGAAGAGGCAGGCAAGATGTGTGTTTTTCCCTCATCCACCAGGACAGTCATTTCATCATGGAAGACTTTCAGGTTGGCCAAGCATGCACCCCGCCTTGGTGAATTCATGCCGGCTACTCCTGATGACTGGTTTTTCCTTTAAAGGCCTGGAAATGCTTCCCCAGATGAGCTGCTCCATCATCTTCAAAAGGGTTGTTGGCTCAAGGAGATGAAGGTGTGTGGAGCAGAATTGATTTTTCATTTTTCATTTGATTTTTCCAGGCGCCTCCAAGAAAATTTGAGCTCGGTCAGGTAATTTCTCTAAGAAATCACTGAATCACAGAATTATAGGGGTTGGAAGGGACCTTAAGAGATCATCAGGTCCAACCTCCCTGCCAAAGCGGGTTCCTTAGAGCAGGCTGCCCAGGTAGGCATCCGGATGGTCCTTGAGTATCTCCAGAGATGGAGAGTCCACAACCTCCTTGGGCAGCCTGTTCCAGTGCTCCGTCAACCTCACTATGAATAAGTTCTTTCGCAAGTTGGTGCAGAACTTCATGTGCTCTATCTTGTGACCATTACTCCTTGTCTTGTCCCCAAAAACCACTGAAAAGAGGTTGGCCAAATCCCTCTGTCTCACACACCTCAGGTATTTATACACACTGATGAGATGCCCTCTCAGTCTTCTTTGCTCCAGGCTGAACAGACCCAGGTCTCTCAGCCTTTCTTCATAGGGAAGAGGCTCCAGGGCCCCCTCTTCCCTCAGGGCCTAGGGAGGCCTCCAGGTTCTGGAGTCTGCACAGTCTCCAGTCTGGACTGACACTTCACCCCTCAGGGGATCCATCTGTGTGCCCACTTGAGCCCAAAGAGGCTGTGTGCCCTCAGTTTGGGTTGCTGCCTCAGCCCGGCTGCTGCAACATCAGTGTTACTGTTGATAGGTCATTTCAACTGCTCTTCAGAGTTCACTATGAAGCAATAATCTTTTCTTGCCTCTCCTGCAGTGTTTTCAGTACCTCCCATGGGGCACAGCAGGCTGGGAAGGGTAGCTGAAAGAATTGGGACAAGTGAAAATCCAAATAATTGCCCTAGGAGACTGCTTCACAGTGCCTTTATTGTCAACATTTGCACTTGTGTCTGCATTGTGCTTGTCAGGGCTGGGAGTCAAGGCTCATGTGCACTTGCTGCAGACAATAAGTAATTATCTTTTGTGCTGAACATAAGCAGGCACTTCAAAGGAAGAATAGCTGCCCTCAGGGAAAGAAGCTCAAGGCAACAAACAAGCATTACATTTATTGAGGTCTGGGATCTCTAGTAAGAGTGCTTCCTGAATCAAAAAACATCAGTTAACTAGCTGCAAGGGATTTCTAGACGATTGTTGCTATATGGGAACGTAACAATCTGGGCAGGAATGGCTTTGAATCCCCCTTGATGAGCAGATTATCAGTATGAAGAAGAAAGATAGAACATGAGAGCACTCAGCATCACAGGAAAAATCACTCATTCTTATTTCATTTTCTGTTTAATGAAGAGGAACATGGAGTGAAAAGACAAGGGAATAGCAAAAACTGGTAGCTGCAGAAGGTGTGAGTGCATCTCCTTGTTTGATAGGTCCAGGTGTTGCTCCTGGGGGTTGATGGCATTTCAAATGACAAGCACAAGTATACTTCCTGCTCTTTCTGAATTTGCCAGTCCAGGCTTCTCTGCCACTGACAGAGTTTGGGTGGAACCAAGCAGGTCTGTCAGTGATCTGCTCTGCTTCTCTGTCCTTTCTCCCTCTCCATGGAGACCAGAAGAATCATTGCAGCTCAGGTCAGGTTTCTACGTACCATATCGTGCTGCATTTTTTGTGGGTAGTCCCACCCTGTGTTGTGGTTGATGGAGAGGGGTTTCCCCTTCTCTCCTACCTTACCAAGGCCTGGTTTGAGGAAAGGGTACAGTTTCATTGATGGTTCGATGGAGACTTCCAGGATACGTCCTGAAACCCCAGCATTGTAGAAGGAGAGCATGTTCTGTTCTAAGTCCAGGTCAAGCCCAACCGCTGCTAGTGGGGCAGTATTCTGATGCATCACATTATTGGCTTCCTCAGGCCAGAACTTTCCTTTCTCCCTTCTCAGTGACCAGACTCCATGCTTAGGAAGCTCCTCCCAGCTCTCTCCTATCAGAGTGTCCCTCACAGTCTCTGTCAGTACCCCCACCTCCCAGTCCAGCCCATCCCACACCTGCACCTCCCAATAATGCCGCCCCAAGGCAAAGCCCTCCCTGCCCACCACGATGGGAAGCTGGCACTTGATGATGGAACCCTGATCAGAAGGCTCGTGATGGACTGTCCTCTTGTCAGGGGACAGGGTGAGCTCAGGGTGTTTCCGTGCTACATCCAGGGTGATGGGCACTGGGAAGACAGAGAAGGAGTCATTAGCTACAAATAGCAGAGAATCCCAGACATTGACATCCTCATGAGGAGAAGGACCTGTTGTCTTTTAGAGTGAGCTTTAGAAATAGAGCTCTGCTCCCAGGTCATGTTGGAGTTCAAACGTGGCTTCTAGCCTGAGGGCAATGCCAATTTCCTGGCAAGCAAGGAATGACAACATCATTCCCAAGTTGGCTGCTCATGGTTCAGTACTGTGGGACCCATACCATGGGTGTAGCTAAAACCAAGGGAGATACCAAACCTTGTCCATTTGCCACTGCTCAGAAGTGTTTTGTCCAGCTTGTTCCAGAAGGAACAAGGGGACTTGCTCCAAGCTTTGACACCTTGACTTTGCTTCTAACCCTTCTGTCAGATTACACGCCCACAAACTTACCCATGTAGCTTCGAGCCCGTCTGAAATCTGTTTAAAAAAAAAAGAAAACACAAATCAAAAGCAGAGGCTGTATTCAAAGACCAAAATGCCCATGATGGATCCATGTCCCTTCCACATTTGTGGAGCAGTGCTCTGCCATGCCTGAGGTGCCTCACAAGCAAAGGAGTAAACCTTCTGTCCTGGCATTGGCCCAGGCCTGCCACTGAGGAAAACTTGTGATATGGGACAAAGGAGAAGCTCCTTGGGAGCTGAGCATGGCCTTCACATGTGTATGTAGTGGTCTAGCCCGCAGGACTTGCATTATATGCCCTGAGTGCCCCCCAAATATATCAGGCAGCTTAGGGACAAGTTCTCTAATCCTGCAACATGCTGGCTGGTATGGGAAATGGTGGATAATAATTCATTGTCATTTGGATTCCCCATTGAGTCCCTCTGAGCCCTCAAAGAGGAGCTCATGGTCTGGAGTACAGTGTTTTGCTAGGACTGTGTGATCAGTGGAAGGTGTGGCTCCCAACCACTGACAGACTTGTATTTAAAGAGACAGAGAAAAGGAAGATGCCTTGACTTACCTAGTTCTCTGTTTATTGTATCTGAAAGAGAAACATGGACTGTTATGTGCTTGGTCAGTGAGAGGGAGCTACCACTACTAGGTACTGAGAGCTACCCAGGGAGAAGAATAATGACCACAAGGCCAGATAAATGGACTTCATCTCTCACTAACATCTTCCTAGAGGATCAGGACACAGAGTTTGTATCTATGTATGTTTTCCACAATAGTGGCAACACACTGTTTATTTTCTTCCATAATTGGTCTCTTACCATATCGAGCCTGCAGTAAGTCATATTCTGCAAGAGAAAAAAGATAAAAACATCTTTGCTTTCTCTGTTGAGGATTTGAAGAAGACATTTCAGATCTTTCTTCATCAGATATGCATGGCCTGAAGGGATGGTGAAGTGATTTCCCCTTCTGAGCATGGTACCCTGAGTGAGCTAGATAAGCCTACACCCACTCCATTTTTGTGAGGTGAATTCTAGTGATGGCTGCAGGCATGGATTTTGTTCTGCAGATGCCTTGCCCACAATTTCTTTAGTGTAAACTTGTTATGGGAATGAAAAAGAGGATGTGAAAGGAACGAGCAGATTGGAGGAGGTCCACAGTGAGGAAGGGCGGATGCCTGGCCTGGGAGAAAGGCTAAAGGATAACGACTACATAAACTTGGGAAAACTGGAGTGGGACTTTCTCAATGTGGAGAGATTAATTTTACTGTACCTGCATTTGATGTCATTTTCTCAGATTCTGTACAGCAAGGGAAAAAAACACAAATGTTAGACATTGAGTAATGTGGCTTGAGATCCATAAGACTCCTCACAGAGAACTGAAAACTGATGCGAAAGAGATGGTCATGGCCCTAACAGAGGTCAGCCTCAGAACACTCAGTCCCTCAGTCCTGTAGACAGATGGAGATGGGTTTGTTTTTAAGCCCCCTCCTGATGCCTGCACTCTCTCTTCTGTTACCCACTAACGCAAGGAGGTTGCAGGTTCCCTCAGTGCTTTCAGATATTGGGAACTAAGACATCCTTCCCTGGTCAGCTGGGGACTTGGGAAAAGGGCTCTGCGCTGTTCAGAGGGTTGCGTTCTTTGTGCTTGTTTTAGATGAAGGAATGTCAGCAGAAGGAATTTCAAGGCACATCATAGGGAAATGTCCAGGGAAAGGAACTGACATCTTCCTGTGCAAGCTAGTGAGTCTAAAAGGCTCCTAGGAAAGTAGATGTTTTTCATATTTTCACAAACTCTTCAGCTGAGATAAGAGCACAAGTATAGTAGCTTTCTTCTGTGAATGCAAGGAAATCTCTTTCCAGATGAAAGCTGGATGGCAACTGTGACTGATTGTTGAAGTGGGTACTTAGAGATGGAGATCTCCCTTACCTTGATTTTCAAAAGTCTCTTCTACAAATTTTTTTTTCTTAGAGGTCCTCTGTTTTGCTGTAATGTTCAAAGAAGCAAATGAAATAATGAAGAACAGAGGAAATATCTGAAGATCATATGTAGGTTGTATGTGAAAAAAATGTCTGAATTCGGTTGGGGGCAGGTCATAGCATGTTGGGTATCACAGGGAGTTGTATAAACACATCATGCTGGGGATGGGGTAGTAGAAACAAATAACTTGTATTTAGTTGAACCATGACATTTTTTATGAAATTATAGTGGGTTTATTTTATTTTATTTTATTTTATTTTATTTTATTTTACATTCTTTTCCACTCTGTTATTGGCCATAATGTATTACCGAGTATTCTTTGAAGGTTCCAGCTTAGGTACCATGTAAAGATCGGGAGTATTGGGCTTAGCTTCTTTAAATTTTGCAACTTGTGATAAATAAACAATCTCCACTCCCTACCTTGAACTCTGACTGGTTTGAACCCTTTAGTATGATGGGGTCAGGCAGGGGCAACTGAAATGAAGGCCACTTTGCACAGCAGCAAGACTGTGGCCACACTACCACCTGAGTGCAGATTTGCACATCTTGTGGCGTGTCTGTGTGCAGATATATCTACACCCACAGGTGCCTAACATGGTATGGATGAAGGGCCAAGCTCTTTTGTTTTGTTCAATGACCACTTTGTCTTCAATAGGTTTCACTGAGGCAAAAAATAAAAATAAAAATAATCTTACCTCTAAATAAAAGAAGAGCGCTCACAGCACTTATAAGAAAAGTTAAAGTCAATAGTATCCAGAATGCATGGATCCATGCAGATGTACGTGGAAAAGCAGCACCTTTGAAAAGAAAAATCTTTGAGTTTTATCTTGCAATGTGCAATCAGGAGGAATCACTTTGGGATCATGTCAGTACTTCTCCAGGAACTACAGAGCTGAGTTGACCTATTCAGATCAAAATCTCAGCTTTTGGAAAAAGATGGAGATGTGAATTCTACCTTAAAATCATCAGGCATTTTTCCTCTGGATCACAGAGGTTACAAGTGTCCATAAAGACAGGCTAATTCATCTGAGCTGTGATAAGTGTTACAGAAATATGTGGATGGATGAGCAATGATCTGGGACTCCTGGGATAGTGTTTTTCACCAGTCCCTTGGGCATCTAACCTTTTTAAAGAGTACCTACCAAAGAGTTCTATTAGAACTGATGTAAGAAATAGCCACAAACCCTACCTTCTGGGGCAGAGACTGCCTTCTCTAGAGACTTGTACAGCATTCAGGCCAAGAAGGACCCTTCCCATTCCTTACTACAGCCTGTCCAGCCTGCAGTTGGGCATGGTGGTTTGTGATCCATCTAGCTGGACTATCTTCCAGCTGGATCCAGCTTCTATCTTCTAGCTGGAGCTATTATCTTCCCTGGCACTGGAAAGCACCTTACAGAGCTTCTAGGACAAAGGATATCATTATAGCAAAGGCTTCTCAAGACACTGAGTGATCTCCCTGCCCTTATCTCTACCCTTCAGCCTTTTCATCATATTTTCTTCCCTTTGAGGAGGGGAAGTGAGAGAGAGCTGTTGTGGTGGAACTCAGCTGCCCAGGTGAGTAAAACCACCACAGGTGTGACTCACTTGAGAGGCGCACAGTAGTTTTCTCAGCCTGTGCCATGTTGTTCTGGATTTGACAGGTGACTTCTTCTGCTTCCTGTCCTGTAATTGTGACTCGACTCATCACACCGAAGAGCTCCTTGCTGTCCTGATGTATTTCAGTGTCTGGAGACAGCATCTGCTTATTCCGAACAACCCACTCGACAGTGGGTTTGGGGAACCATCCGTGTGATCTGCAGGCAAGCTCAATACCTTGTCCTCGGGGGCCCAATATTTCAAAGAATACTTCACTGGTACCTTAAAAGCAAGAGTTTGTTAGTGAGAGGAGAGTGTTTCCACAAAAAGCATCTCTACCTGGGCTTTACAGCTCTTGTTTAATAGAGAGTTTGGCCCCATTTCCTGCCAGTTTCTTTTAGTACTTAGCCTAGACCTTGAAATGGTCCCCTCGGATCACAGATCCTCTCTGCTATGTATGCCAGCTTGTCCTTGGCTAAGAAAAAGACACAATACTGGATGGGTCTGCCTCTCATCTCCCTACCTGGCTGAGAGAAGATGTGTGTCTTTATACCTTTTGCTTACAAAAAGAATCTGTTACTGCTGTTACAGAATCTGTATGACACTGGTCCAGTTTTGAGGAAGTGGAAAGAAGAAAACATAAAAACTGTAAAGCATGCACAGCTTTTTCCCTGGCATCTGCCCAGTTCATGCTAGCATGAAGGAGTGGGTATTGATGATTGCTGTATAGGGACTGCACCAAAACTGCTCTAGTGTGAGGGTGTGGGATGCACCACATGCATATCTTAGTCAGACCCCTGAGTCCAAGCTGGACTTTGTAGGGATATTTCCTGGTTGACAGCAGGAAATGGACACCAGCTGGGACCTCTTTCTCTTGCCTATCCTGAAAGCTTACGTAGCCACTTTTGGATGAGGAGATGATGTTTTCAATCAGCAAGTCTAGGCTGACTGGCTTCACATGACATTACTCTCCCACACATAGATTATGCCTCCTGTCCATGAAGACAGGGCAACCTTTCACACCAGCACAATAGGTGGGCACTTACGTGTCCATTATACAGAATCACAGAATCACAGAATCGTCTAGGTTGGAAGAGGCCTTCAAGATCACCTAGTCCAACCTCTGACCTAACACTAAGAAGTCCTTCACTAAACCATATCACTAAGCTCTACATCTAAATGTCTTTTAAAGACCTCCAGGGATGGTGACTCCACCACTTCCCTGGGCAGCCCATTCCAATGCCATGTAACTACCCTTTCAGTAAAGAAGTTTCTCGTAACATCCAGCCTTATCCTCCCCTGGAACAACTTCAGCCCATTCTCCCTCGTCCTGTCACCAGGTCGGAGAATAGACCAAGCCCCTCCTCACTACAGCCTCCTTTAATGTGGCTATAGAGAGCGATAAGGTCGCCCCTGAGCCTCCTTTTCTCCAGTCCGAACAATCCCAGCTCCCTCAGCCACTCCTCATAAGACTTGTTCTCCAGACTCCCTCACCAGCTTTGTTGCCCTTCTCTGGACTCTCTCAAAGCACCTCCATGTCCTTCTTATAGTGAGGAGCCCAAAACTGAACACAGTAATTGAGGCGTGTCCTCACAAGAGCTGAGTACAGGGGGAAAATCACTTCCCTAGACCTTCTGGTCACATTGCTTCTTATACGAGCCAGGATGCTGTTGGCATTCTTGGCCACCTGAGCACACTGCTGGCTCATATTCAGCCGACTATCAACCAATACTCCCAGGTCCTTCTTTGTCAGGCAGCTTTCCAACCACTCATCTCCCAGCATGTAGAGTTGCTTGGGGTTGTTGTGCCCTATCATGTGGTCTCACATCTCCCCAACAGTGATTACTGCAGCTAGCTAACCCTACACTTGTCACAGTAAAGCTGAGAGCAGGGATGAACCCTGCATAGGAACTCGCCCTGATCTCTTGGCTGTCTTATCAAGCTATCCCCGCATACTCCACTTCTCCATGTAATGCAACCAGTTTTGAACATGTATGGTGAAGTCTCTCAAGAGACTCAGGGAAGCACTTTATGCTATGAGAGTTTAAAGCTCCTTCCTTGCCTAAAACTAAAAGTGACTCTCCTTGGGCTGCCCAGGTTGCTAGTGCCCCTAGTTGCCTCCTGTACAGTGAGTGGCACATGGATTGAACTCTTCCCAGCCTCTTGCCAACCTCTCAGTCTCTCAGTGGCTCTGAATTAAAGAGTTAAATCACATCACTGTGAGGAATGTTTTAACAATTCGTGTCCATAAAGAACAACTCTGTTTGAATCCTGTCTGCCTCTGGGTCCTGCACTGGCAATTTAATTCTTGAACCACAGATGCAGTGTGCCCCAGTCTCCCCCTCATTCTAGTCAATTTATCATGTCTTCAGAAAACACTCCTTAAATTTATGAACCTGTTTGCTTTTGTTATTCCGGACTTCTATTTCTAACAGTTACAGCCTTTTTTCCTGTCTTCTTCGAGATTAACTTAACACTGCTATAGATGTGTCTGTGAATGGCTGGGGAAGAATGTTTTAATTACTCGTGAAGCGTCATATAAGAAAGCTGTTTGTGTTTGATGTCTGGGAGTTTCAGAACAACTGATAACAACTAGTGACTGTTATGGGATACTATGAGGATCCTTGGTATCTGGCCAGGGGGGCAAGAGATTAAGAGGAAGAAAAAAGAAGCTGAAGGATGGTTGGGAGACAAGAACTGCAGAGAGTGTTCCATAAACTTGGAATGGTGCCAAGTGAGTACAAAGGGGGAGAGGAAGACTACGAGCCTTCAGCATGAAAGACCCCTAGAGACCCCCAGAGGAGACTGATGCGCATGCTGCAGTAGGAGGAACTGGACCCCGGAAGCTAATTATAATAATCTATTTTTTTAGAAGTAGTAATGAATATGTATTAGTCTAGGAGCATAAAAATCAGCTGCTTGATGTAACTGGTGTGCGTCCTGGTGGAGCGGAGACTCCCGGTGCACCCAACGCTGTTTGCTTACCTCTATTCCTTTATATTCTTTTAATAAATCCTATTTTTTAATTTAATCCTAATTTGAATCATGAGCCATTTATAACATCACAATTTGGGTGTCATGTGGCCCACTGGATCATATGACTGGTCATATTACATGATGGATCATATGAGGGGAGATCAGCTGGGGGCAGTGTACTTTTGAATAGCTTTTTCCCTTCTGTAAAAACCCTCTTCCTTTCATAATCCAGCCCACAAAATCTCCAACCTGCAATGCTGAGCACGGTGGTTGTGTCAGCACTCCAGTCCTTGGAATTCACAATGCAGCTGTACGTTCCTTCATCTGCTGGCAGCACGTTCTTCAGTGTTAGGGACACATTCCCAGTGGCAAGTCCATCTTTTAGCAATTCAGTCCTCCCCACGTATTTCTGCCCTGGTTTGTTAACTGTGTTCCTCCATATGTAGACATCTTCTATACGCCCATCTGTGATTTTCTTCCACTGAACTTCAATGTCATACAATGGTTTTGTGGAAGAGACATTGCAGGGAAGAACTGTGTCCAGGCCAACAACCCCCAACACATTCCGGGGAGAGATGACCTCGAAATTTTCTGTAGGAACCAAACTTGAGTAAACACCTGCCTGAAATCCATCAGAAAAGGTACCAGTATAAAAGGCAAAGAGAACTGGGATATTTATGCCTGCCCCAGAGAATGGATAGCACTTGCAAGTTGGAAATCTTCATTAGAGACTATTCTCTTTTCAGTTAAATCTGAAAAGACCATGAAGCAATACATCAGAACAGAAATGTAAGAAAGAAAGAAAGAAAGAAAGAAAGAAAGAAAGAAAGAAAGAAAGAAAGAAAGAAAGAAAGAAAGAAAGAAAGAAAGAAAGAAAGAAAGAAAAAGAAAGAATGGAAGGAAGGAAGAAAGAAAGAAAGAAAGAAAAAGAAAAAGAAAGAATGGAAGGAAGGAAGGAAGGAAGGAAGGAAGGAAGGAAGGAAGGAAGAGAAGGAAGGAAGGAAGGAATGGAACGAAAGAAGAAAAAGAAGAGAAGAACTAAGAAAAAGAAGAAAAAAAAGAAAAAACAAACAAAAAAAAGAAAAGAAAAAAAAGAAAAGAAAAAGAAAAAACAAAGCCCACAAAAACCCTCCCCTAACAAAAACCTAAAGAAAATAAAAAAAAAATAACAACAATAACAAAAGAAAAAAAAGAAAAAGGAAGAAAAGGAAAAAGAAAAAAAAGAAAAAAGAAAAAGAAAAGAAAGAGCCTATGTGGTCCTTTGGGGAAATGGACTGTTGTCCACTGGAATAACATTTGGAAAGCATTTTTAATGATATGAGGAAAAACTGTTAGCATGTTTGCTTTTATTTATAGTTAAATAAAATGTATTTATTTTATTTTATTTTATTTTATTTTATTTTATTTTATTTTATTTTATTTTATTTCATTTCATTTCATTTCATTTCATTTCATTATCTTTGTAATATTTACTCATTTGTTCTCTCACTCTTTTTTTTTTTTTTTTTTCCTTTTTCTTTTTTCTTTTCTCTGGAGCAAAATGAACACTGGAAAAGTGGAAGCCCAAAGTGTTGAAAAGTATGCAGAAAATAGGCTCTTAAAAGTGGAATAAGAAAGGATTATTTGGAGGAAAAATAACAACAACAACAACAAAATTGCTTAAAAGAATGTAAAGAAACATTTTGTCCAACTTTCTAGCCTGCCATGGCCCTTTCCAACCTATGTCAGCAACAGTGAGGCAGCTGTGTCAATGGAAACTGCCCATGTAGACTTGGAAATGCTCTTGCTGCTTTGGCAAGGGCAGATGTGGCAGAGCTGGGTTGGGTTAGGGCTACCTCATCTCCAACAAAGAATATAAACTCAGGCTGGAAAGAGGAAGATTCCAAAACATCATACTGACAGGGCAGCTCTGGCTCTTTTGGAGTTAAGAGGAAGTCTCAGGAGACCATGAACTTCAGCTTGTGCATTTCTTATCACCTGCAGACTTTAATCCCTCAGGAATTAAAAGAGATTATGTAAGTGTTACCTGATGAGACGGGGGTGGCTGCTAGCAGTGCCACAGTGAACAAAAGCCAATTCTTCTGCTCCATGTTGCTCTACAGTTGCAGATGTAGAATGATAATTCAGCTGACCTGAAAAAGACACAGAAGGTAAGTATAATAGAAGGGAAATCTGTCCTAAACACAGGACATTTCTTAAATTGCACTGACACGCCTTCCAATGCACTCAAGCAGTTGAGTTTAAATGCCAGGAAAACCTATTGCTGTCCAGATGTCTCAATTTAAATTTCAGCTTCTGAGAATTTCTTGCAGCCTACCATGCTCCCAGAAGGTTATGAGAGTGTATGCAAGAAACAGAAAAATACAACCCAGCCCATACTGTTTTCTGCAAAATTGATGAACACATGAATTAACACACCAGTTTTAAATCTCTGGTCTGAGTTTCACAAGTCTCTTTGTCCATGTTATGAGATGGGTAAAGAACGAGGGAAGAAATGGTGTTTAGCAGCTTCTGTACAAAGGTTTACAGGAAGGGGAAACTGTCCTCTTTGCTATCATGAAGACACGGCTCCCTGAAACAATCAGACTTCAGAGTGAAATCAGAACCTCTCTTTCAACTTCACACAAGATTTCATGTAACTAATTGACACAGCCAACCACATTCAGCACTGACACAAACCTGAGATAATTTAGGGCTGCACCAGGGTCAACTTTGGCGCCCTGTGCTAGAAAACATACCCTTCTCTGGTCTCTGGCTTTTTTGTAGAGTTTGACATTTCCAGTACATAGTTGACTGTCGCTGTCTCAGTCCCCATAGCAACAGTTTTGGTATGGTATCTTTACTACTTTGCCATAGTTCAATATTTTTCTGTATTTTTTAAATATTTTTCTGTATTTTTTTTCTTAGAGTGGGTAGCCCTTCAGTCTGTGGTACATGGAGGGAAATGGGCTCTTTTGGTTCCCAGGTCATCCAAGAAGCTAAAGATCATGCTTGCACCACAGAATGAGATAACACTGTTAAGTGTATTGTCCACATTCCCATGAACTTCACAGGTAGGTCAGGCCATTGAATGTGACACTGCAACTGGCACTAAATTCCATAAATGTTCATCAACTTCATCGATGCTGAATCTTGCTCTTGCCACTCTCCAGGAGTTTTCATGGGATTTGAGATAAACAAAATTGACTCTTTACAGATAATAGGCACAGAAGAAACAAGAAAATGTTATTGAAGAAATTAATTTAGAGACCTAATATGGGAAAGGGATTAACCTTGCCTAGAGATGAGAGCATTGCATCTCCTCATCTCCTCAAAGGAGGTGTCTTTGTTGAGGGGCACTGAGGCTCCTATTTGTCACCCAGATAACCTATCCAGAGAGGTGTGCTGTCTTCCTGAGGCATGTGTCAGAGACGTTAGGAAGGCTCTGCCACAGCTCGTTAAACCGGAGGATTACTATCCTCCTGTTGTCATTCATGTTGGATCCTGGGAAGCTGCAACTAGAAAAATGAGGAATATTAAAAAGGACTTTGCATCCCTGGGAAGGTTGTTGAAGGGATCAGGGGCGCAGGTAGTGTTCTCCTCTGTCCTCCCTCTGGGTGACCAGGACCCAGAAAGAAGGAGAACAGGACAGGTGAATGAGCGGGTGGTGTCTAGACCAAGTATTTGGGTATTTCGATGATGGGCAGGCCTCTGAGAAGCCAGGTGTGTGGGCTGCTGACTTCAACTCAGTAAGTGGGCCACAAGTGTGTTGGGGAGCAAGCTCTCTGGGCTAATTACCGGGGCTTTAAATTAGGTTTGATGGGGGAAGGGAGGGGAAGGGAGAGGAGCTAAAAGTGACAGAGAAGGGCTGGGGGATGTTGTCACTGGTGTCACTGTTGAAGATAGTATGGAAAAACCTCTGAGTTGTCCCATAAGATCATCTGAGGGTTCCTCAGAGGAGGTAATAATTCTGAGATGCCATCCGGAATCTTCTTGTGTCCCTCTAGGGGTAACTGTGCCTGCTGCTTCCCTAAAATGCCTGTATACCAATGTGAGAAATGTGGGAAATAAACAGGATGAGCTCAAGATCTGTGTTCAGTCATGGGGCCAAGATCTCATTGCAATCACAGAGACGTGGAGGGACAGCTCACATGGCTGGAATGCTGTCATGGAGGGCTATGTCCTTTTTAGGAAAGACAGGCTGAGGAAGCGAGGGGGTGGTGTTGCCCTTTCTGTGAGGGAGCAATTAGAGTGTACCCCGCTCCACCTGGAGGAGGGTGAAGGACAAGTGCAGAGCTTGTGGGTGAGAATTTAGGGGTAGGCTGGTATGGAGGACACAGTTGTGGGGGTGTACTACTGGTCACCTGATCAGGAGGAGAAGGTCGATGAGGTCTTCTACAAGCAGCTGGAGGTAGCCTCACAATCATGGGCACTGGTTCTCATGGGGAACTTCAATCATCCAGACATCTGCTGAGTAAGCAACTCAGCCAGACACGACAATCCAAACGGTTCCTACAATGCATTGAAGACAATTTTCTGATGCAGGTGGTGGAGGTGCCGATGAGGAGAGGGTACTTCTGGACCTTATTCTTACCAACAGGGATGGGCTTGTTAGGGATGTGAAGGTTGGGGGCATCTTGGGATGCAGCGACCATGAGATGGTGGAGTTCAAGATGGAACTTGGTAACAGAAGTAAGACAAAAAGCAGAACTGCTACCCTGGACTTCCAAGGAGCCAATTTCGACCTCTTCCAGGACCTGCTTGGGGGTATCTCATGGGCTAGGTTGCTAGAAGGCAAGAGTGCATGTCAGAGCTGGGCTACATTTAAATAACACTTCTTCCAAGCTCAGGATTGGTGCATCCCTAAGAGTAGGAAATCGTGGAAGGGGGGAAGGAAACCTGTGTGGATGAGCAAGGAGCTCATTGACAAGATCGAAAGGAAGAGGAAGGTCTATGAAATGTGGAAAAAGGGCCTGTCCTCTTGGGAGGAGTATACAAATGTTGTCAGGGCCTGCAGGGACGCGACAAGGAAGGCTAAAGTCCACCTGGAGATGAGGCTTGCAAAAGAGATAAAAGATAATAAGAAGGGTTCTTTTCAGTATGTAAACAGTAAAAGGAAGACTAGGGATAATGTGGGTCCCTTGCTGAACGAGGGGGGTGTCCTGGTAACAAGAGACGCTAAGAAGGTGGAGATACTGAATGTTTTATTGGTTTCAGTCTTTACTTCAAGGACTGCCCGCCAGGACTCCTCGACCCTTGAGGGAGGAGAAAGAGTCTGGGAAGTGGAGATCTCCCCCCTTGTTGATAAGGGAGTGGTTTGGGAGTGTCTGAGTGGGCTCAAAGCACACAAATCCATGGGTCCCAATGGGATGCATCGATGTGTGCTAAGGTAGTTGGCAGAGGTGATTGCCGAACTGCTCTCTATCATCTTTGAAAGGTCCTGGAGAACAGGAGAGGTGTCTGAAGGCTGGAGAATAGCCAATGTCACTCTGGTCCTCAAGAAGGGCAGGAAGGAGGATCCAGAAAACTACAGGCCAGTCAGTATCACCTCTGTCCCTGGAAAGGTATTGGAGCAGCTTGTTCTGGATGCCATCTCCATGCAATTGGAAGAGAAGAAGGTTATGAGGAGTAGTCAGCATGGATTCACCAAGGGGAAATCATGCTCGACCAACCTCGTTGCCTTCTACGATGGCATCACCTGCTGGGTAGATGGGGGGAAAGCAGTTGATGCCATCTACCTTGATTTTAACAAGGCTTTCTATACTGGCTCCAATGACATCCTGCTAGCAAAGCTGAGAAAGTGTGGGATAGAGGAGTGGACAGTAAGGTGGGTTAAGAACTGGCTGACTGGCCGAGCTCAGAGGATGGTGACTGGTGGTGCAGAGTCCAGCTGGAGACCTGTGATTAGCGGTGTTTCCTAGGGGTCGGTGCTGGGTCCGGTCTTGTTCAACATCATTGATGAACTTGATGAGGGAAAAATGTCTACCCAAGGCAAGTACACTGATGACACAAAGCTGGGAGTAGTGGCTGACATGCCAAAAGGCTGTGCTGCCATTCAACAAGACCTGGACACGCTAGAGAGATGGGTAGGAAGAAACCAAATGAGGTTTAACAAGAGCAAGTGTAGAGTCCTGCACCTTGGAAGGAACAACCACATGTACCGCTATAGCCTGGGAGATGACCTGCTGGAGTGGAGCTCTGCAGAGAAGGACCTGGGGGTCCTTGTGGACGACAGGTTGACCATGAGCCAGCAGTGTGTCCTGGTGGTCAAGAGGGCCAATGGGATCCTGGTATGCATTAAAAGGAGTGTGGCCAGCAGGTCAAGGGAGGTGATCCTCCCCCTCTACTCTTCCCTGCTCAGGCCTCACCTGGAGTACTGTGTACAGTTCTGGCTCCCTGGTACAAAAAAGACAGGGAACTCCTGGAAAGAGTCCAGCAGAAGGCCACAAAGATGATATGGGGCCTGGAGCATCTTCCTTATGAGGAAAGGCTGAGAGACCTGGATCTGTTCAGCCTGGAGCAAAGAAGACTGAGAGGGCATCTCATCAGTGTGTATAAATACCTGAGGTGTGTGAGACAGAGGGATTTGGCCAACCTCTTTTCAGTGGTTTTTGGGGACAAGACAAGGAGTAATGGTCACAAGATAGAGCACATGAAGTTCTGCACCAACATGCGAAAGAACTTATTCATAGTGAGGGTGACGGAGCACTGGAACAGGCTGCCCAGGGAGGTTGTGGAGTCTCCTTCTCTGGAGATATTTAAGGCCTGTCTGGACACCTACCTGGGCAACCTGCTCTAGGGAACCTGCTTGGCAGGGGGGTTGGACCCGATGATCTTTTGAGGTCCCTTCCAACCCCTTCAATTCTGTGATTCTGTGATTCTGTGTGATTCTGTGATTCTATTATTTGGTGATTAAAGGTTGTGATTAAAGTGTTTCAGATTGTATTATTCTTGCTGGAATACTAGGACAGGCATTTGGGTGGGGGACTTGTAGCAAGCTGTTGCCATCTGGATTATAAATACCAAATGTCTTGGAAATACCAAAAATGTCACAAGATGTTTGTGCTTAGACAAAAGCAGCTTCTTCCCTAGCTGTATTCATTGCCATTTGAATATTGCAAGTTCTTTTGAAACTCAGTGAAACCCCATACATCCAGCCCAAATACAACTGAGATGAATTGTACTGATGAGACTGGATACATCAGAGAGCAGAAAGTAGGATCAGACACCTATGGGAGCATCTGGACAAAGGAGTTCCAGCCAGCAAATGCTGAGACCTGATACTTCGTTTAGCAAAGGTATTTTTGCTAACAAATGTTATTTTTTGTTTTCTCTGACTTAAAAAAACATGTATTGTGTTATATGAGGAGAGACCAAAAAAAACCTCACTGACTAGCAGATCAACATTTATAACTTGAAAGAACAAAACCAACTGAATGCTTATATGCCATTTTAAAACAAACAAACAAGAAGAAACATAACAAAAAACAACAGTTTGTCTTAATTCCCATAGGCTTCATGTGCATTGCTAAATAGACATAGTGTGACATATTTTAAGATAAACAATCATTATTCTACTAGAAGGATAGAAAATTAAATTAACTTTGGCACTGCAACTTGGATCAAATGCACAAATTCATTGAATGCAGTAAAATTTTAATATGGATGGTTTAATGGTAAGAAAAAAAGACATTTTCATGAAGGCCTGATATTCACTGCATAGAAGATGACAACCTTAATTATTCAAACTAATCAGAAAAGTTTGAGGTTGTTAACATCTCTGCAAAGCATTTATTTTACCCTGAGACACTGTGCTGGGGGGGGGGGGGGGGGGAGGAACAGAGGGAGGAGCTTCCCTGAACCAAACAGTCCCCTTCAGAAAGGGAATATAGACCTTTTCTCCCGCTCTGCAGCCTCCACTTCAGAGATATCCTGCAAGATAAATGATATTTCCATACACCAAAGACAACTGACAAATCCTTGGTGAAGCAAAACCTAACCCATCTGGCTAGTTAATACCTCAGCTTTCTCCCCCTTTCTCCCACTTTCATTTTTCTCTGCAAGAGCTATCAGGAGCAAACATGCTGCTGATGCCTACACTTCCTCCCTGACAACACTTAAGGAGACATGGGTGGAGAGAAGAGACTGTTGGCCCCTGCGTGCACAGCTTTGTTGAAGGGAATAGAGCAGTTCCCTTCCATCTCTATGGAAGCCTGACATTCTTGGTTTGTTCAGAAGTGAAAAAGTTAAAAGAGAAACGCCTTACCTGTCTTGATGTATGAAGGTGAACAATGATATCGGATAGCTGTTTTACCTTCTTGCCGGAGAAAGTGAACTTAAGCCTTAACTCATGCAGGATGATAGTGGGTTATGCACCATCTCCCTGCAGAAGGAAAGGAAAATGAAAGAAAGAATCAGGTACTGAAGTTTAAATCTGACATTCCTCTGCCAGAAGATCGCACTTCTTCTTTCATACGAGGGCTGCATTGTTGTGTTGTAAACAAACAGATGCAAAAGGAACTTTGGTGTTAGAAAGAAGTTTAAGACAATCATGCATCCAGCTGAATGCTCACTGCCCAGCATCAGAAGTGAACCTTATTTCAGAATAAAATTGGTATTTCACCTGTTGTAAGGTAGGAAAGGTCTCTCCATCTTCTGTCTCAGATCAAAAAGACTGAACTCTGAACAGTGGACCTGAAATGAAGAATGAAATGTTAAAGATTAACTCAGGGTGCAACTCTGAAGATCACGGTTTTTTCTAAGACTGATGCTTTACTGTCAAGTTACAATGGTAATGGAAGCATGTTGTCCTTGGGACTTGGCAGATACTCTTAAAAGAAACCAGCTTGAAAAGGGTGTAACTTTCCCTTTGGAGAAGGTAATGTCTTTGAATCTAACTATTTGTGGATTTTCACAGGGTTTTCCTCTTAATATCATTTCTCACAACAGTTTCTTCCTGAAAAATACAATGCAGGAAGTATTTCTAGTTGCCTTAGAAACAAAGTTGAATTTTCTTTAGGAAGGGTTGAAGGCAGAAAGGAGAAAAGAAGATGTTACACTTGGTGGAGGAGGACCAAGTTAGGGAGCGCTTAAAAGAAATGTGGCATACAAAAGTCCATGGAGCTTGATGGATTGCATCCTCAATGTCCTGGTTTCAGTTAGAACAGAATTAATTTTCTTCCTAGTAGCTGGTGGAATGCTGTGTTTTGGCTTAGGATGAGAAGAGTGCTGATAACACCCCAATGCTTTAATTGTTGCAGAGCAGTGCTTATACTAAGCCAAGGACATCTCAGCCTTTTGCTCTGCCCTGCCAACGGGCAGGCTGGGGGTGCAGTAAGAGCTGGGAGGGGACAGACCCAGGACAGGTGACCCAAACTAGCCAAAGGGGTATTCCATACCATCTGATGTCATGCTAAACAATATATAGGGGTGGCTAGCCGGGGGGAGGGGGCCGGACTGCTCGGGGTTAGGCTGGGCATCGGTCAGCGAGTGGGGAGCAATTGCATTGTGCATCACTTGTTTGTACATATTATTATTACTTTCCTATTATCACCATTGTATTATTATTATTATTATTGTTGTTATTATTTTTGTTATTATTATTTTCCTGTCTTATTAAACTGTCTTTATCTCAACTCACGGGCTTCACTTTCCATTTCTCTCCCCCGTCCCAGAGAGGGAGGGGGGAGGGTGAGCGAACGGCTGCGTGGTGTTTAGCTGCTGGCCGGGTTAAACCACGACACTCAAGTTCTGAGGGATCTGGCTGATGTCACTGAGAGACCACTCTCCATTATCTTTGAAAGGTCATGGCAACTGGGAGAGGCTCCTGAAGTCTGAAAGAGAGCAAATGTTACCCCTAAATTCAAGAAGGGCAATAGGAAGAAGACCTGGGTGACTATGGTCCAAGCAGCCTCACTGCAGTCTCTGGAAAGCTGATGGAGAAAACACTCCTGGAAACCATTTCCAAACACACAGAAGACAAGAATGTGCTTATGAACAGTCAGCATGGATTTCCGAAGCACGGATCACGCTTTACTACCCTGTTAAACTCCTATGATGAGGTGACCAGCTTGTTGGATGATGGGGAAAGATGATGTTTTATACCTACTTTTTAGTGGGATTTTGACACTGCCTCCCATTAATGTCCTTGTAGACAAGCTGACAAAGTGTATGTTAGATTAGCGGACAGTGAGGTAGAATACTCTATGAAGGGGAAACAGTTTGAACAGCCAGGCTGTGCTGGATTTACATGGCAGAGTAATAGGGGGGATGACCTCAGTGTGGGGCAGGTTTATCCTAAACGACTACAGCCATTGGACAGGACCCACACTGGAGGAGGGGAAAAGTGTGAGCAGGAAGGAACAACAGACAGCCGTTAAGGACTGATTGCAGTTCCTCATTCCCCATATGCCTGTGCCAAGTGGTGGGGAGAGGGACTGGGAATAATAGAGTGAAGCTGAACCTGGGCAAAGCAGGGGTGGAGGAAGGATATTGTTTCAATTATGTCTTCTTTTCTCACCACCCAAACCTATTGTAATTTTCAATAATTTGAATTTTCACCAAGGTGAATCAGAAAAATGGAGCACAAAGTCCTGCCCCTGGGGAAGAACTATATAAGGCACAAGGACATGCTGGGAACATCCAGCTGGAAAAGCAGCTTGGCAGAAAAAAAGGACCTGGAGGTGGACAGCAAGATGGCCAACAGACAGCAATGTGCCCTTGCTGCATAGAAGGGTAATGGTGTTCTGGGCTGCATTAGTAGGACCAATTGTAGTCTTAACCTGGGGAAAATAAGGAAACCTTAAAGAAAACAGGGAGATGGGTAGCCTTGAGATAGCAGAAGCAAGGGAGATAAAGGATGAAAGGTTAAAAAAACAAAGCAAAACAAAACAAAAAAATAGCTGCAGGAAGATTCCAGATTGACCTGTGGAAACCTTTAGCTCAGTAAAGGTCATTAACATATTAAAAACCACACCCATCAAAATACTAATGTATGTTAATGTGGGATTTGGTTCCTCTCCACACACACACACACACACACTCTTTGTCCTCTGTAATGTGCAAACTCAAAAGAGGTAAGTTAGGCGAGATGAAATAGCCAATTAAAACTAGCAAAAGAGATAGTCTCACAAGTTTGCTGTGTATAAATAATGGTGATTCAAGCCAGAGGTGTCCTTGCTTTGTGAAAGATTGCCAAACACCTGACTCTGCAGAGTTACATAATTAATTATTTGTGCTAATAATGCAGGGAAGTGGAAGCTAGCAATGACAAGGACCAGCAGGAGGAAGTGTCTTCCCCTAAAGCCTGAGGTGTTCTTGCAGAATCATTTTATCCCCTGCAGATGGAAAAGGAACAAAAGACCCATTGCAGGGGTGTGGAACTGGGTAAGGCAGCCTGATTTGCTGACCCAATCTGCTCTTGAGTAAGTCTGCTGCTTACCAGGGGCTCACACCACCAAGAAACAGACAAGACTCATAATCCTAAGGACTATTACCTGCTGCTGCTCTTCCATGTGGGCACCAGAGCAGCTGGAGCTGTCTGGGGACTGTCAAGAGAGTTTAGAGAGCCCTGGGAGCAGCAGAAAAGACTCAGTAGCACAGGTAGCATTTTCATCAGTCCTCCAGCTCAAGGGGAAGGGTTTTGAAAGGGACAGTCAAATCCAACAAATCAACAGAGGTGTGCAGGACTGGTGCTACAGACGGAGCTACTTAGACAGTAGGACTTGCTTTGAGGAACCTGGTCTGATGGGGACTGATGGAGTCCACTTGTCAGATAAGGGGAAGAACATTTCTGGTGACAGGCTCACCAATCTGGTGAAGAGGGTTTTAAACTAGAGTTTCCAGGGGAGGAGAACCTCTGTCGATCATACTCCTCCCAACTTGAAGACAGTGTTAGAAATGGATGTCCAGAGTCTGGAGAAGGGTCACGGATCAGCAGGAGGGCACCTGAAAAGCAGCGCAAAGGAATTCCAGCCATTCCAGCTACTCCAGTCAGTAAGGCAGCTTCATCACAGACCCAATTTAAATGTCTCTGTGCTAGCTCACCTAGCACAAGGAACAAACAGAATTACAGATGCAGGGCTATGACCTCATTGATACTATGAAGACATAGCGGGTGGCTTCCAAGACTGGAGTGATGGAATCAAAGGATACAGGCACTTTAGGAAGACAGACAGGGGAGATGGCAATGCCCTCTGTGTCAAGGAGCATCTGGAGTGCATGGAGCTCTGCCTGGGGACAGATAAGGAGCTTACAGAAAGCTTAACTTCCTTTTCCCAGTGATAGAGGAGCCAATGAAGAGATGTGCTGTGCTGGATCTCATTCTCACCAACAAGGAGAAGGTGGGGTGTGTGAAGCTCACAAGCAGCCTTGGCTGCAGTGACCATTAAATGGTGCAGCTTAGGATCCAGAGGACAGTGAGGAGGGAGCACAAAAAGCTTGCTACCCTGGATATTGGGAGAGCAGACTTTGCCCTCGTCAGGGGTCTGGCTGGTAGAGTGCCATGGGACAAACCCCTGGAGGGAAGAGGGACCCAGGAAAGTTGCTTAATGTTCAAGGATCACTTCCCCCAAGGTCAGGAGCAATGCATCCCAGCAAAGAGAAAGTCAGGAAAAAACACCAGGAGGCCTGCATGGGCGCACAAGTAGGAGCAAGGATGAATAACCTGGGAGGGATACAGCAACATTGTCCAAGCAGTCAGGGATCAGGTTAGGAAAGCCAAAGCATTCATAGAATTAAATTTGTCCAGGGACTTCAACTGCTACAAGAAAGTTTCTATAGGTACATCAGTGACAAAAGGAAGACCAGGGAATTCGTGGGCCCTGTCTGGAAGGAAATGGGAGACCTGGTCATCTTGGATATGCAGAGGGCTGAGGTACTTAATTGCTATTATGAGGAATGTTTTAACAATTCCAATTCGTGTCCATAAATTCGTGTCCATAAAGAACAACTCTGTTTGAATCCTGTCTGCCTCTGGGTCCTGCACTGGCAATTTAATTCTTGAACCACAGATGCAGTGTGCCCCAGTCTCCCCCTCATTCTAGTCAATTTATCATGTCTTCAGAAAACACTCCTTAAATTTATGAACCTGTTTGCTTTTGTTATTCCGGACTTCTATTTCTAACAGTTACAGCCTTTTTTCCTGTCTTCTTCGAGATTAACTTAACACTGCTATAGATGTGTCTGTGAATGGCTGGGGAAGAATGTTTTAATTACTCGTGAAGCGTCATATAAGAAAGCTGTTTGTGTTTGATGTCTGGGAGTTTCAGAACAACTGATAACAACTAGTGACTGTTATGGGATACTATGAGGATCCTTGGTATCTGGCCAGGGGGGCCAAGAGATTAAGAGGAAGAAAAAAGAAGCTGAAGGACGGTTGGGAGACAAGAACTGCAGAAAGTGTTCCATAAACTTGGAATGGTGCCAAGTGAGTACAAAGGGGGAGAGGAAGACTACGAGCCTTCAGCATGAAAGACCCCTAGAGACCCCCAGAGGAGACTGATGCGCATGCTGCAGTAGGAGGAACTGGACCCCGGAAGCTAATTATAATAATCTATTTTTTTAGAAGTAGTAATGAATATGTATTAGTCTAGGAGCATAAAAATCAGCTGCTTGATGTAACTGGTGTGCGTCCTGGTGGAGCGGAGACTCCCGGTGCACCCAACGCTGTTTGCTTACCTCTATTCCTTTATATTCTTTTAATAAATCCTATTTTTTAATTTAATCCTAATTTGAATCATGAGCCATTTATAACACTATTTTGCCTCAGTCCTCACTGACAAGAGTTCAAGACATGTGTCCTGGGCCCCAAAAGGCAAAGGCAGGGATTGTTTGAAAAAAGAACTGCCTAGTGTAGGAGAAGATCAGGTTTGAGACCATCTAAAGAACCTGAACCTGCACAAGTCCATGGGACCTGATGAGATGAATCTACGGGTCCTCAGGGAACTGGCAGGGAATTGTTTGAGATGTTGTGGTAGTGCAGTGAAGTTCCCATTGACTGGAAGAGTGGAAATATTTTAGAAAAGGTAAAAAAGGAAGACCTGGGGAACTTCAGGCCCTTCAGTCTCACCTCTGTGCCTGGCAAGATGATGAAGCAGATAATCCTGGAAACTATGCTGAGGCACATGGGAAATAAGGAGGTGATTGGTGACAGCCCGTGTGGTTCCACTAAGGGCAGATTGTGCCTGACAAATCTGGTGGCCTTCTACCATGGGATTACAGCACTGGTGGATAGGGGAAGAGCAACTGCAAAGCATCTTACACTGTTCTTCATTATACCCTTGTCTCTAACTTGGAGTGACATGGATTCAATGGAAACCTAGAAGAGGTTTCAACTTTGTGTAATGGCCTCAGTGAAAGTCCTTGGCAAATGTTGGACTGCAAATACTTTCGTCTTTCTGAGACTGTCTCAGTGAAAGCTCCTAGCAGGGCTCTGAAACTGGCAAATACTGGACTCTGATAAGTGTCTTTTTAATGTGACACCCCTCATCCCATCAAAATGAAACCAAAAAGGTGTAAACAGATGAAATCAAATAAAAAAACAAGTGATATAATATATAAACAAGAGATATAATGTTTATTATTTATATATTATAATAATATATTATTATTATTATTATTATTATTATTATTATTATTATTATTATTATTATTATTAAATTACATATATTGTAATATATTTACATATAATATATTCTTAAGGTTTAGCGCAATATTTCCATGTTCCATGAGACCTTCAGGCATTTAATCCCATGCTTTTTGTCCATTCTCTCGGTAGATGTCTTCTACAGATTATTAATTTCACCTTTTTGTCTCATCACATCTCTAAAACAGCTGGACATTATGTGTCAAACGTGAAGCTCCAATAAAGCATTGTGGTTTCTTTTAAAACAAGTTGCATGCATGTTGTGGTAAACTAGCTCAACATCAAATAGCTCACTCTCTACAAGCAGTATTTAGGAATTTGAAAGGCAGAAGTTAGAAAATTCATGGGCTAAGAAAAACAATCAAACAAACAAACAAAACAATACAATAGAAAAGGTAGTGCTGTAACATGCAATTTTTCATTACCAGCTGACTGATGCCCAGTTATATTGCACTTTCAGGAGCTTGGAGAAACTGTCAAACAGTATTTGCATGTAAAAGAGAAATGCATAAATCTAAGAGCTTAAATGGGGGAACCCTAACTCCTTTTTCAACTGCACTAGTAATAGTGGATAATCCCTCTTTGGTAAGGCAGCTACTGGCCAGGGCATTGTTATCTCCATCCAGTTATCACAAGTGCTCAGGATTGCATGGATAAGTAGTAAAAACATGTTGTTATGGAAAAACGAACAAACAACAAACAAACAAAAAAAAAACATCACCCAACAATGTCACAGATCAGGAAATGACAGAGAAAATAACAGGACCTCTACAACAGCAGGAGGCAATATTCCTCTAATAATCATACTCATTTAAATGGATTAACTGAATAATCCAACATTTCTGATGTTCTTTTATAATTCAAACTTTGATTTTCTTCATACTCATTCTTCTTACAACATTCAGAAAAAAAAATAAAAATTAAGGATTTTGTTTTTCTTTGTCCTGTATTTACCATCATGCATTTTTCTGTGATTCTTTATGCATGCCTTGGAATTCAAATACATCCTTGACATATGCTCCACCAAAATGTAGTCATTACAGGCTTCTCATGTTCTCTTAGTTGAGAACAAATAATATTAAAAGATATTTTGCTTCAAACTTCACCTTTTTTTTTCTGTACTTTTAGACACAGCATCTTTGCCTCAGTATTTACTTTTTTTTTCTTTTTTTTTTTTTCTTTCCAGGTTTTTCTGTTTTGTTCCACAGTACTGCTCTCTAGATTTGATAATAACTGACGTCCTAAGACGTTGTTGTCTCTCCTCTAGTCCACTCTGACACATTGAAGAGAACCTTACCTCTACAAGCTATTTGATTCAAATTATCCTTCTACAGTGTCTCCAAAGAGACAGGGATTAAGACTGGGCAGATAACAGGTGTGACTACCCCTTCTTCTCCTTTAGGTAAAAATGGGTAAAATATTTCTGCATGTTCCTTTCCAAGGCTTAGAGGGATTTTCACTATGATATTTTTCTGCCCTGCTTCATAAAATTTGACTTGTGCTTCCTCCAAGTCCAGAAGCACGCCAATCACTGAGCAACTCATACTCTTCTTCTCAATCTTGCTGTTTCCTTTGCTAGAGAATAACTCTCCCTGGGACCTGTGCAGAGCCCAGAAGTCCTCACCAACATTTGTCCCTTCCTCCTCTTGCCTCTCTTTCTCCCTCACCACCCCCAGCACCCAGTCCTGCTGCTGGTCCACCTCCACCTCCCAGTAGTGTTTCCCAGCTGCAAACCCTTCCTTCCCCACCAGAACAGGGACTGTGGAGGGACTGCTCAGGCTTTCAGGCTCAGATGAGGTGTCCTCAACTTTTGGAGTCCCCGGCACTGGGAGCTCTAGGACTCGGCAGTCAGGATTCACGTCAATGAACACTGGAGGAGAAAACAAGAAGAATCCAGTGAGCAGAGCCACTCAGGGACCTGTCTCTGTAGGGGACTATGGGCTGAAATCTTTGAGGGTCTGAGCAGTCCTGGTGTGATTCAACAAAGAATTGAAACATTCTCCCAAACAGGGCATGCAACGGTCACTGAAGAACCAACAGGCACCTTTCAAGCTCTCATAGCCATGTACTCTCTCGGGGTGTAAGTCCAGGTGACTCTTTCTCTCTCTTCACTCACTTCACAATAAATTTCTCTCTCTTTTCCATGTTACCATCCATCCTCTCTGGAATGGTGCCTATACCCTACCCTTTGACACTTCTTAGCAACTGCTTTTCTCAGTCTTCCAAATTGCCCATCCCACTATCATTTCCTTTTAACCAACACAGGTGACGGCATGTCCCTGTGACTCCAGCTCAGCCTACCAGTCTCTAAAGTCATGGCATTGTCATTTCAGGGTAACTTGGACAGATTGAAAAACACTTTTCACACCCTTTTTTCCTGTTGAATTACCTGCATGGCTCCGGGCTTCCCAGAAATCTGCAGAAAGGTAAGAGACAGTAGGGTTTTAACATCCTATTAGGCAGTTAGATACTTGTATTGGGTTTACATAGAAAGGTTTTGGTAGTGTGGGACTGCAGGGATGGCTTCTATGAGAAGAGTCCAGAAGCTGCCCCATGTTATATAAGAGATGGTTTCAGGGAGCTCCAAATGGCCAGTGCCAAGCCAATAAGTAATGTTTTTAGCACCTCTGTGAGAGCATATTACTCTGTGAGACTGAGACACCAAGATCAGTGCAGCAGGAGGGCAGGAGGTGCTCCAGGCATGCAACACAAGTTACCCTGTGGCCTGTGGAGAGTCCCCTGGTGGAGCAGGCTGTCCCCCTGCACCCTTGGGTCCCACATGGAGCAGATCTCCACGCTGCAGCCCGTGGAGGAGCCCCCGGTGGAGCAGGTGGCAGTGTCCTGGAGGAGGCTGTGGCCCACAGAAAACCCCCAAAAGAGCAGGCCCTGGGCCAGAGCTGCAGCCTGTGGAAAAGAGCCCACACAGGAGCTGGGGGCTTGGGGGGGAAGCTTCTGCCCATGGGGGACCCATGTTGGAGCAGATCTTGAAGAGCTGCTGCCTGTGGGAAGGCCATGTAGGATCAGTTTGGGACGGATGGCATCCTGTGGGAGGGACCCCACATTGGAGCAGGAGAGAGAAAGAGACCATGAAGGAGTGGGGGATACAAAATGTCATGGACTACTGTAACCCTCATTCTTCACTCTTCTGCACTGTTCAGTGGAAGAGGTAGAAGGGGATGGAATGGGGGGAAGGTGTTCTTAGGTTTTTGTTTCTCACTGCTCTAGCCTCTTAGTAATAGGTATTAAATTTCATTAATCCCCCTATGCTGTGTCTGTTTTGCCTGTGGCAATAACTGTTGGGCAATCAAATCTTGAGCCTTTTTCATTGTATTTTCTCTCCCTTTCACTTTGGTGAGGGCTAGTGAGAGAGCAGTTGTGGTGGAGAGCAGTTGTATGTTCGTCTGCGCAGCTGAGTGAAGCCACCACAATACTTCTCAAGCTAAAATAATGCAAAGACTACTCGTGTACAATTCATCTCTGATTCTCCATCAGTTTTGCCTTTTCTTCTCTTCACTCACAAATTCTTCTGCTTCTCAGCAGTTTTTAATGACTTACCCAGCTCAGCTTTCAGTTGACCTGGAAGGGAAAAATATTCCTGTCACTACATTTTTTTTCTTTTTCTCTTTTCACAAAAGTTATACTAAATAGGACAACACTAAAATACAGAAAAGGAAAGAATTCTGAAATCTGGTGAGAAACATTTTTATTCATGTTATTTCAATACCAGCGTCAGTGGTCCAAGGTGAAGAACACGGAGTTTATCCTCCAGATTCCATCAGCTCTACATTTACACACTAGACCTGGGATAAAGCGTGGCATGTCCTTTAGCAGAGAAGCTGGAAACCAGCTGAGGGACAGCCTAGATGGGATCATTTCAGGGAAATTCTGATTTTATCTTTGTGTTTCAGTGTGCTCTCAGGAAAGTCCATTTCTCTACTATGTGTTTGACCCTGGATGTACCTGTGTGTCCTAATGGGTCTTATAATAACATTGTCTGACTTTTTTAGAAGGAAAAAAAAATGTCTGGCTTTTCCCTAGAAGGGTTCCTCTACTTTGTTATGAGCTGTCAGTTTGTTTTGTGGACATCCTGGACCCAACTGAACCTAAATACAGCTCCCTACAACTACAGGCCCAGGATTTTCTTACATTCCTGTAACATATTCTTCCAAATGGAGAAGGTCAAAAGCGTATCAGAACACTCTGCCTCCTGCCTAAAAGCCTGGTTGTGGGAAACTTTCACAAAGAATGATTTGTTTAGGTTGTTTGCTGCTTCACCAGAAGACATTGGAACTGATCTCTCTTGCTCTCTAGAAAAAGGATTAGCCCCACAGCAGTGAAGATGACTCCAGCTGCTTGTGCTTTATAAGGTTTCTAGAGCACATTCAAGTAGAGGGCTGTTTTAGATGACTGGGAGGAAATGTGGTGCATTTTCTCTAGGATAAAACCCATTAGTTATCTGTGTTAGTTATAGCTTTGTTGTGAAGTCAGGCAACAAAATCTTGTGAGCAAAAAAGTGAGGCCTAGTCTAGTCACAGTGTAAAGCAGCAGCAGAAGAACCCATGGGGGGATATTTTTTAATGGAAGGGACAGAATCTCATACGTGGATGTTTCACCTTATTTTTTCAGCTTCACATTCAGAAATGGCATAGACACACTCAACTGAAGACCTGGATTATTGTTTCTAAGCTTGACAGGAACATGACATTTATATAAGATGTTTTGTCTTACCAAAGTGGTCTTTGAGTTTTGATTTTGCTAAAAGAGAAGAGCATAAATGACTGATGTAAAAAATCAAGGAAACAACAGCAAATGTTTGTAAGAAAGATAGTAGAATTATATCCCCAGCTGTTCATTCTGGGAACAGTGCATATAATTACATGGGAGACTTCTGTCATTAAACTTAGAATCATAGAACCACTGAAAGGCTTTAGTTAGAAAAGATCTGAAAGATCATCTAACTACAACCCCCCTACCATGAACAGAGACACCTCCCAGTAGAACAGGTTACTCAAAGCTGCATCCAACCCAGTCTTAAACACTTCCAGGGATGGGGAACCCACAACTTCTCTGGGCAACCTCTTCCAGTGCCTAACCACCCTCACAGGAAATAATTTCTTCCTAACATCTAATCTAAACCCACCCTCTTTTAGTTTAAAACCATTAATTATTCTTGTCCTGTCACTACATTCCCTGATAAAAAGTCATACAAGTAATTAGTTTTTTTGTTTGTTTGTTTGTTTTGTTTTGTTTTCCTTCTAACATGATAAGAGGGGAAGGATAGAATAAGAAAGCTGAACAGAAATTTGTAGTTGTTTTCAGGTGAAACCATAGGGAAGAGAAATAACCTTAGAGGGAGGTAAGTGGACCATGAGCAGGGCAATGGCACTGGTACAACAGTTCCTGCACATAGAGGCAGAGGTAAATATCATCCATACTTTTCCTATTTAAGCACCTCTGAAAGCATTTCTGAGAAGCTATTCAGACTAAAACCAAACTAACTATATAAAGCAGCTTATTTCATTGTGGCTCGACTGCATCCATTCTCAATGATTTTTTTTAAGAAAATTAGATTTACCTCTACGATTTGTGGATTTCTCTTGTTCTAAACAGTTCAGCACATAAAATGAAAGAAAAACAGAAATGGAGTAGTTATTGGATGTGAGCTGGAAGTTAAAAGTTACTAAGAGAACTTTTGTACTTTATATATATGGACTTTCCATAAATCTTCACTTTAAACATGTATCACTTCTGTGAAAAACACACTTTCTTTTCAAATATTTTACAGGCTAGCACACAACATTTATCTTATTTTATAAATAAATAAATAAATAAATAAATAAATAAATAAAAAGTAAAGTAAATGTGTCAGATTGTGCCTGGAGATTTTCACATGAAAATAATTATTTTAGTTGAGTCTTGTGTCTAATTTTAAATGTGTAAGCACATTAAAGAGTACTATCAAGACCAATAATCAAACCAAAATCAACCAACAAAAAAAGAAACAGAAACCCCCCCAAACAGGCATGTCTTCAATACATAGATTTTATATGCAATGAACAACAGCAACAACAAAAACATCTTACCTAACATTGACTTCAGTTGTTCATTTTCTAGAAAAAACAGTACACAGATATCAGTGTAATCTCTGTGATAGAGTTGCTGAATGAGCTAAAAAATGTAAATACACAAACTGTAAAACCATATAGTATATGTATCCTTGGAGCTTGGCTGCTTTCATTGCACTGTTAACTGCTTTAAGTAGGTGTAAGGCCAACAATATAACCCATGAATGTAACACTAAATTTTAACCTTATTTTATTTAGATAACTCATTTTTTTTAAACAGGGTGGAAACAAGACATACTTGTGCTGCTGGTAGATATCTTCTTTCAAAACCTGTTTAGATTATGCCTTAATTGACCAATTTAAGAGGGGTATTCAGATGCATAGACACCTAGAACATTTGAGATGCCCTGGGGTATCCCAAGTGGCATGTAGGTGTCACTCTAAAAGGGCTCTGGTCTCTTATAGGTGAATCCGTGCTCCCAGTGGATATCCATTGAAACAGTGAAATTGGATATAGCATTGAAAAGGGCTGCTACTCCACAATTACTGTTTTGAAAATCAACGTGCATTCGAATATTCAAATATTTTTTTCCTGAATTTATGTCTTTCAGACTTCTGAACAGCCTAACATAATTTCAAAAGCAAAGAGGTTTTACCTTCTTCCATCTTCGTCTTCATGTTTACTGAAAAACAAAAGAAATTGGATCATAATGGTAGTTATTCATGTAAGCTTCACTTACCTTACAACAGTGAAATTCTTGTGTGAACAGAAGTAACTGAGGTTCAAACTTGAAATTAATTTAACCTAATAAATTAAATTTCCCAAGGCTTCTTGTTCTTCCAGAGAACTTTTATTTTATTATTTTTTTTTTTATTTTTTTTACCTTGCTTCATTTTTAATGGAGTTCAACAACAAATAAGATAACATCTTGAGACACTCAGTCCTCCCCAGGTATCGTTTGTCACAACTGCTGCCCAACTAAGGTTCATAGACTGGAAATACATATTTTCTGATCAATGGATCAATGGATATCTCTAGCCTCAATTGCCAATTATGTCAGGGAGCAGTCAGGGACCACAAGTACCTCAGGATACAATTGTTCATTCAATCCTTTTGTTAGAATAGAGCCTGGTATGTTTATGGCATGAGTCTATTAGTTTTCTCCCCAAAAATAAGCAGTTTTTTTCTGTGTGACAGCATGAGCCCGGGGCTATTGCTAACAGGTAGTTTGACTGTGGATACTCAAGTATATTTTTAAGTACAGATATAGCTCATGAACACCAACTAGACATAGTCAAAGAAAACTTGCTTCTTGCATGTAAAGTCTTCTGGAAGGCCTTGGTTTGGATCCTTGAATTGCTGTTAGTTTTGGGTTTTGTTATTATTATTTTTTTTATCTTTTAAAGATGTGGAAGAATGATTACGATACCTTAATTAACTCTTGGATGATTAAACAGGGATCTTAGATATGATTGAGATGGCAGGGAATGCCAGTCAGCTCCTTTGAAGCAGACTGTTTACAAAGCACAGATGAAAAAGCTCGTGCAGGGTATTATTGTAGTGTGGTACAAAAGTAAGTTGGAAAGCTATAAAACACTTGTCTATAACTAGGATTTCTAATTAGCCCCTTAATATTTATTCTAGTTAAATTCTAATAATACATACACTCTACAAAGTATCATAATTGTCATAATCGTCATCTTTATTTCTTACCTGATTTAATTGTTTTCTTGTGGTTACCTGGTTAACAAAACAAACAAAAAAACAAAATTCCACTATTTCTGTAGAGTAATACTGAGGGTAAACCGTTCCCTGTTTTGTGTTTCATGTCATCGGTTACTCTCTGGATTTATGTCTCCAATTACAGAAAGGGGCCTACTTGTCAGACCTGAAACTCTCTGACTTAAGGACGTTCAATTTGTGTTCCTCCTTGTTAAGCCCATGTGCTTTCCCACACCTTTTTTGTTCCATTTCCCGAATACAGTCATTAAATAATTACTGGTGATTTTGATTGTGTGCTTTTGTTACAATCATAGATTTCAATATGAACTGTTGTGATATTTCTATACTTTGACTGATAAAACATAGGAAGAAATACTTACTTCTCAGCTTACAAAATACAGTGGAGATTAGGACCGTGATAAAACATAAAATTACCAGGTGGACAATCAGCCATTTTGAAATGGAGGGAAAGAAAATCTCTGTAAAAATGACCAAAACGAGTTGTATTGTATTAATGAGTAAAACATAAAGATAATTGTAACTCAGGTTGTAGCCAATACATCTGAAGAGATGATGAATTTGTATTTTGCTTGAATTTTCCTGGTAATGTTGCTAAAGAACAACATTCAGGAAGAATCAAATTCAAATTCAAACTCTCCCTCAGAAGTAAATTGGGGATATTCTTTCTGTGGGTACCAGATTTGAAAGTATGAAGGAGATGTCTGAGATAGGTAGACAGGTTTGCACAGTTCATGAAAAACAAGAAAGACAAAAAAAACAGCTGTACTGTCTCTCATTTTCTATTTTTATTTTTATTTTTCCATGGGTGTGTTGCACTTCATAATAAACTGAGTATAAAGCAGGTGATGGAAAGAAGGAAGAAACCATCACCCCTGGGCAATAGAGACACACTCACTCTGAATATATTTGAGAAATTAATGTCTGACACATCCTGCAAACTAAGATGCATAAGTCAGGAATAATAACATTTAAGACAGTTCTCTATTATGTTGATTCCTATTGTCTCATTACAGGTATCTCCACATTCAGTGTTATATTATTTCTTAATGCCATCGTATAAGGGAGTTTACTCAATTCTTCAAGAGCACTACGCTTCTCTCTAGTTCCTTTTCCAGCCTACACATTGGCTTTTGGGTTGGTGAAGTTCTTTTGGGGATCAAACCCTATCTTGACACTACCTGATGCCTGTCTATATTCCCAGGAAAAAGAGATGTATTAAGTGCTACAGAGTACAGGAAAGCATGACATTATATCCACCCTATAATGATTATACAGTAATGTACATGTTTAAAACAGCAAACAAACACATAGAATAAAAATATTTATGAGGTATTGAAACTATCATATTAATTCTTCCGACTATATATTTTTATTATTTATTTTATTTTATTTTATTTTATTTTATTTTATTTTATTTTATTTTATTTTATTTTCCAGCTATGGGCTATGAAACCTACATGTGCACACCTTGTTAAATTGCCAGGTAACATACTTCTGGATAATGAAATCCTGTGGAGCATTCAGCCATAGCTAAGGAAATATGTCCTTTTCAAATATGCATACAGATGGATTTTTAATTAATTTTAATTCAGCTCCAGTAGTTGACCGCCCTAAATCTGAAGAAGGGAACATAGAAAGTATCTGGGCCCTTCTTTGATGAAGAAAGTGATTTATTGGGTACAATTGATAGTTGTGTAGTAAACTAGAAATAAAGTTGTAGGAAGACTGCATCTCTCATGACCTTTTTCCAGTACTCGTTCTGGGACCACTTTTTCAGGCTAGCTCATAACATAAAAACAGGACCTATATCAGTTTTTCTATCTTTTTAATCTTACAAACAGGTGACTATTGTGGTCACTCACCTGAAATCTGAATTCTGGACTCTCTTGTTGTCTTTAGCAGATTATTAACTATCCTGCAGGAGACTTCCATGTCAGATCCGGGCTTTAGGTTCATGGAAGTTATGACTCTGTAAAGGCCTGAAGGCATCATCATCATCTTTGTGGTCGATTGTTCCTTCCGCACCTGTCCTTGGCCATCCAGCCAAATCACCTCAGGTTTAGGAAACCATCCATCTGCATGACAGGTGAGGCCAATGCTCTGTTTCATGTAACTTCTCAGGGAAATGGAAGGCACACTACCTTTAGCTAAGGAAAAAACATAAGTATTCTCTATTTCAAACACTACTGAGAATGGGAAATTGTCTGTTTTATAAGGACATCACTCATATTCAACACTTACATATGGGTGTATATAAATATATATTTGTATGGAAGCACATGGAAGGACTTTTCTGAATTTGAACTTTGACAGAAACTTGGGCCCTGAAGTTACTTGCTTCATGGTTAACAATTCAGTAACTTTCAGATTAAGAATAAGGACTGACTTAATGGAGATTATGGTAGACAGGGCTAGCTAGGGACTGCTATTCCTGAATGATGTCACCAGTGGAATGTATTAGAGGATTAGGCTAGTTATTTCAAATAAATTTCTACTGACATAGCATTAATGAAGTCTGGAGAGAAAAACAAATAAATAAATAAATAAATAGGTCATAAAATTTATAATCATGAACTCAGATGACTAACGTGTAGCGTTACTTAGATGTTAAACTTTTGTTTCATCTTGAATTAGCTAAGAAGACATCTGAAAAATTTGGCTGCAATGTGAAGTGTCACTACAGCTATTTAGCAGAAATTGGCTCCTGTGTAACAGGAAGAAATGTGTCCAATTCGAAGCAAACCACATTAACAAAAGCTACCAGTGAAGATGGTGTCTATTAATGTACTGAAATGGAAATATGAGCAGTGAAGACTTACCCACTAATTTGTTTTCCTGCTGTGTACAAACAGCAAGGGAAGCAATGAGATATTGGGATGGAACCAATTGATTATACTGACCATAGAGAGAGCATGGGCAATAAGATCAGAAATGATCAACTGCATGGTAGACACCTAATTGTATCTGGATAACTGCAGGGTTCCCTGAACTCTAGGTTTCCACTGAGTTTGAAGGGAGGTTGTACTCCCAAGTCACATACAGATGCAAGTATTTGGCTACCTGAATGCAGGTATCTCAAGCTGGAACTAAATCTTACCTCAAATAATCTGATGTAGGCATTAATTGAGAGAAAGTTAAATAAAACACATTCTTACATGAGGAGAGTTTATCCATCAAATTATATTAAAATTATATTTTCCTCAGTCAGTGATGTATATATATGTCTCTGATCAGTGCTTCATCTTTGAATAAATTGAGAGAGAGAATTGCCACTGACCTGCTACTTTCAGTTCAATTAACACATCATGGTACTCATCGTTGAAAGAGACCACGCAAGTATACGATCCCTTGTCAGAACTCCTGATGTTCTTCAAGAGCAGAGACATGTTTCCTGCCCCAAATTCACTATGGAAGAATTCTGTTCTGCCTTGATATCTCTCATCTTGCTTTTCCTTTTGAGTTTTTCCATCATATGTGCTCACAGGTATTTTTTGAGACTGTTCATTAAATATCCACTGGACAGAGAATATCTCAGGAAAGTTCTCTGCTACCACATAGCAAGGCAGAACCACTCCTTCTCCGATGACTCCAATGACTGAACTATTAGGAGGATAGCTAATAAATTGATCTGTGTAGAGATAAAATAACAGTTGTTTTGTTTGTCCATATCACATTTTACATGGCAGTACATCAGACAATGACAGACAAGTACATCAGATAATGTGGCAAAGAACTTAGATGAATAATGTTCATATCATCTGAGGCTCATGGAGTTTCAGTACATTGAACATGAATTTAAGTAAGTTCATGGCCATTAAGTGATGGCTATTGAGAAGTCATGGAAAAAAGGTGAAAATGAAAAATAAAGGAGAAGACTGTAAAAAGTCTCATACAGGATGCAGGATCTATCTAAAAGAAATACAAAAGTGGGATTCATTTGCCCAGACTATGGTACTTTCTATAAATTGAAGTGTCATAACGTGTCTAACACATTCACATGGTGCTACGGTGCTGGCAGATGTCACCTGCAACAGATCTTCACTCATGTGAAGCAGTAGCTAGAGGAGAGACAAAGTGAGAGACAAAGGGAGTTAGCTTAAGATCCAGAACTGGGCACTTAAAAACAGACACCCAGCCTTCCTAATCATCAACAGAACCAAAAGTGAAGCTTCCATCTTTGAATAAACTGAGATCTGCAGCTGACCTGACTTCCAGTCAGTTATTTAATTGACTACATTCTTACCATAGTCTGTGGACATCTAGTCAATACTCCCTTCCATCCATCCTACAGTAGACAGTGAATCTGTTCGTTGGTTGTGATAGAGTTTTTAACGCCCTTACCTGATGCCCTGATGTACCCCTAGATACAGGACTGGTAGATGTGACTCAGGGTACATGCTGAGTCTGGGATTTTTTGGAGCATCAAAAAGCAAGAATAGAACTCTGCACTGTCTAAAATACCAATAGATTCCATTACATGGACAATAAATTGTGTCCTAGATGCTGAGCTTGCATGCCAACGCCTACTTGTTGAGAACTAAGCGTAAGCAGATAAATCTATGAAACTAAACTGAAAATCTTGGGCATAATTTATTTGGCTACACCTGGTTGTCTAGTACTGAATTACCCTGGAACATCCCACCTGGTATCCATTCACCTGTTTTGAGGGTTATAAGTCTCCTTCTGCCTGATCTTGTCTTCCAGCCTACACAGAGGTCTCAGACCTTAAGGTCTCAACCTTAACACAAACCAGACTGTACCAGGGTCATACTTGTGTATTTTAAGTCTCTGATGTCATCCAAGTCAAAAGGAAATAGAAGATGGAGACTTATTATTTTTTACTTTTACAGTTATGTGAACTGAGGAAAAAATTAAGCTGTTTGATTAAATATATTTGAAGCTGAACTATTTTTACCTGTAATTAGACATGATACATGTTGAAAAGTCAGTATGTGAATAGCTGTCAACCACTGAAGGGTGGAACCCATCATCGTGCTGGTTTCCTAATCACCAACAGGACCAAAACTAAAGCTTCCAGATGAAACTCCTGTGTGACTCCTTTGCTCTCTTCACATGTTCAATGCAAAATAACAAGCATAAATGCACATGTAACACTATAGGAAAATACATGAATAAAGATTCAGACAATGCACTGGATGATGTCAAAGGCAAAGAAGATTGCAAGGCATCTTTGCTCTAGACATCTCCCTATTAAATTTAACTACCTACACTAAATGGTGCAAAAGAAATATACTTCTTGCCTGCTCTCTTCAGTTGTCCATACTAACCTTTGTCTTCCAGAAACTCTATTGCCTTCACCAACATATTTTCTTTCTTCCTTTCAGTTAGGTGTTAAAAGTATTTCATTTTGTCTTTTGATACTAGCAAACTGCTCTTTTTTAATTATTTCTTTCTTAATGAAAAACAAAACAAAACAAAATAAAACTACCCCTGTGGATAAATTCCTAGGAAAAAAATGTTACTATACTAATCTCCCTGTTGAATTCCAACAGCATTTTAAAAAGAAACTTGTGATTTAATACATGTGGCTTTTTCCAGCTTCCTCCAAAGATCTTGATTTTCTAAGTCACCACTGAACAAATCCGTACTCAGCATGCTTACAGCATGCTACGTCTGGCAACCTGTTAAATCCACAGCAGTTAATTCAAGTATCATTGTAGACGCAGGGGATTTTTCTTTATGGATTTAGTGAAAATATAATCTCTTACCTGAATAGTAAGAACCTTAAGACTTCTGTAGGGGGGTTGGTTGTGGTGCACCTTTGTCCTCATATCTTTATTACCACTGAAACTTGTGATTGCATTTTCAACATCCAATAGGGCTAGAGGGGCTTGACCAGCCTGATTGGGGAAAAGGTTAATGTCAAAATTCATGCTGAAGCACCGAAATAGCTTCATTCTTCCTAATTGATCTCTATAATGAACAAGTATAGAGATCAATGAAACAAGTGAAACAAGATGGGGATATTCCTCCTTGCGCTTCTATGCAGATTGGTTCTCTTAGCAACCATCATTTAAAATAAGACTTAGAAGTATGTAATGAACAAGTTAGTACATCATGTTTTCCCTTCCCTTCCCTTCCCTTCCCTTCCCTTCCCTTCCCTTCCCTTCCCTTCCCTTCCCTTCCCTTCCCTTCCCTTCCCTTCCCTTCCCTTCCCTTCCCTTCCCTTCCCTTCCCTTCCCTTCCCTTCCCTTCCCTTCCCTTCCCTTCCCTTCCCTTCCCTTCCCTTCCCTTCCCTTCCCAGCACATGCTTAAGTATTGCCCTCTGTTTGCAGACATATTTGGATCTTGGTAGTATTATGATACTATGCTTCTATCATTTTTCTCTCACACAGGTCTTCTTCTGTCCTGTTCAAGATCAGGAAACAATTTAACAATTTCAGTTGAACTTTCTTCCCGTTTTTATACTTCAGCTTTCCTGACTGGTGGTCATCCTGTCAACAAGGATTTAGTGCTCTCAGGATGAGACTGCTTTTTCTCTTTCCATATCCAGATTGTATAGAAGATTCCTGAAAAACATATGTTCTAGAACTGCTATGTGTGGCAGTAGAATAGAAAGGGTCTTTTTGTTTTGTTTTGTTTTTGTTTTGTTTTCCTTTGGGGGGAAGCTTCTTTCCATATTTCCTGTTTTAAATCATGGAAATACAAGAACTACTGTTGACTGAAAATGTCAGCCAAATAGCTTATTAACTTTACTCCAGATTTTATTATTGTTATTTTATATTATATATATTATTATTATTTATTTACTTATTTAAACAAAAACATGACTGGAAACCAAGTTTATGAGGGCAAAGTGTGCCAATCTCCTTCATCCTTCTGATTTTTGAAGCTAGAATCACTATTGTTTCTAACCAAATTTGATTAAGCTGTGTAGTTTCCCAGAGATACAAAGTTTATGTAAGGTCGGTGAAAAAAGAGTTGCTTATTTCTCAAAAGAAAGACATAGATTTGTACTATATATATATATATAATTTATATATATAATATATAATATATAATATATATATATTATATATATATAATATATAATATATTATAATATTATATATATATATAATTTGAGTATGGCTACATTCAGAATCAATTTCTCTGCAGTAACTGCATAGCTGAAGTTCTTTTGTTAGCTGAAATGCTTCCTGGGGAAATTAAATTTATTAAAAGAACACCCCAGGAACCCCCTCGGGCACATTTTATAAAAGGTGCAGGAACATCGTCATCACTCAGGTTGGATTTTACTCAGTACTACTGGACCCACTTTCAAGCACCCTCCAAGAAAACTAGAGAAAAACGTATATTTTTATCTTTATACCAGGGCATGAAACACAAATGAATTTGTACTAAATCCTACAGTCACTTAGGAAGGGAGACTTGAAGAAGCATAAGTGATGCTTAAAAACATCTTTCCAGAGGCAAAGCTGGAGAAACCACAAAGGAACTTGCTTGAAAATGAACCTCCTGAATGATGGAGCCCAGGATGACCATAAAGAGCAGGTATATTGGGCTTATGTGGCAACACTATGGTAGCAAATGGCATCTGCAACAATACTCGAGAAGCTGCCCCATGTTGGAGAAGATCCAGTTCCTAATGACTCCAAAAGGCCCAGAGCCAAGCCAAGGTCTTAACACTTGTTTTGTCTTTGTAATAGCATATTTAAGAAAGGGAAATAACTGCTGTGCCATAACAAATGGGAGAGGAATGAGAAAATGTGTGAACAAAAAAAGCCCTGCAGACTCCAAGGTCAATGAAGAAAGAGGGCAGGAGATGCTCCAGATGCAGAGCACAATTTTCCCTGCAACCCATGGAGAGGTGCCTGGTGGAGCTGTCTGTCCCCCTGCACCCATGGGTCCCACTGCGGAGCAGATCTACACACTGCAGCTGAAGGAGGAGACCACAGTGGAGCAGGTGGCTGTGGCCTGGAGGAAGCTGCAGCCCATGGAGAGCCCCACAGGCGTAGAGCCCAGGCAGGACCTGCAGCCCATAGATATGAAACTATGATAGATAAGGAGTTCTGGCATTAACTGCTGCTTGCAGGGGACTTGAGCAGTCCACTGCTGAAGGATTGGCCCCACCTGGAGTACTGCGTCCAGGTTTGGGGCCCCTGGCACAAGAAAGATGTGGACCACAAGGTGTGGGCCACAAGGATGATCAGAAGGCTGGAGCACCTCTCATATGAAGAAAGGCTGAGAGAGCTCGGGTTGTTCATCCTGGAAAAGAGAAGGCTCTGGGGAGATCTCATTGCAGCCTTTCAATACTTAAAGGAGTCATAAAAAGGATGGAAAAGGACTCTTTACTCAGATAATGATAGGGAAGGGAGAAATGGTCTTAAAATAAAAGTTGGTAGATTTGATTAGACATTAGAAGGAAATTCTTCACTGTAAGGGTAGTGAGGCACTGAAACAGGTTGCCAAGAGAATTTGCATATGCCCCATCCCCGGAGGTGTTCAAGATCTGGTTGCACGAGGCCCTGGGCAACCCAATCCTATCTGTAAAAATGCAGGCAGGGAGGGCAGGCAAGGAGGGAAGCTGGGCAAGGACCTGCTGGGCAAAGTTTCCAGGTCTCAGCTGAATGATTATGCTCCCTCTACTGTCCAGAATGTTGAACCTTCCTTGATTGGTAACTGCATCTTGAATAGCTATCAAAATGACTGATCCTTCCTAGGGACCACAAAACAAATAAACACACACACAAACATAACAACAAACAGTAATAACAATAGTGCTTTAAATCTTAGTGCAATCTCATGTCAGTGACACAAAGAATCCATTCCACCTGTAAGTGAAGGGGAATTAAGCCCTGTTTAGACGTTCAGTAATTTTTTCTCTGTCTAGGATCTGATTCTTGTAAATCAAAATATTTCCCTTCTTTCTACAGATCTTAACTTTCCCTCTCTCTAATACATAAAAAAGCTGGTATAATTGAATCATAAGGTTTAACTTTTCTAAATTACTTTGATTTCCTACATGGTCTTTGAGCAGTATATTCATACTTCTAATTTCAAATCATCCTCATGGATAATGGACTCAGGCAACATACTTTCTTCTGTTTTCTCTCTCTTCTGTTCATGCTTTATCAGTTTTATCATGTTTTCTCAGTTTAATTGCAGCAATTGTCAAAAAGTCATACAAGAACATTAGTTGCACTGAACAGGTACACCGGTGTTTGAAAGTTGCACTTTGGATCTAGGTGTGTGGGCAAATTCCGCCTTTAGATATCTCTTACCATAGATTGTCGCACCCAAAGGTAATAAGTTGCTAGTGGTGAAAGTTCAGTCTTTAATAGTTGTTAGCTTGAGTGAGTAAATTACTAAAGTCTACCCCCTCTATAGATATGGAAAACGAAAGTACATATGCTCAGGCAATACAAGTCAACCTCAAAGATTCCTTACTTTTGTAACGCATGCTGAATTTAAAATGGATACTTTGAATATTCTTATTCAGGTAAGGAATTAAATTCTGGCTGAAACAGAACTGTGCACAATGAAGTTTTTGGTGTGGTTTGTATGAATATTGAGACAGTCTTTTGCTATTTACAGTCTTGAGGAAATGATTTTGGTCTGGACTTAAGATGGCTCCTTTCTTGCCTGGATCAATGGGAATATATAATTTTCTTTTGTGGGTGACACTTTAAAGAAATTGTTAAAGGTTGTTTAAGGTCTTTCTATAATATGAAGATTAAAGCAATCTGTTTTCTCAA